ACTTCCAGTCATTCTTATGGGTAAAGGAGCATCGAAAGAACTGACCAATAGAATAACGAGATGCCTCAATATGGAGGAGCAACAGATTCTTTGGAAAGGACAAAATACAGCTCCAAAAAAATCGAATGAAAGGGGTTAAACAGGGATGCCCTCTTTCTCCTTATATATTCGATCTTTTAATGGAAGAAATAGTTATTGCTGGGCATGTTTACAAAACAACATCTTCGGTAGTCTACCTTGGAGTACCGATCACGAAACGACTACACCGGAATTTAACCACCCGTAAGCGCTCAAGGGATGCACTTATTGCCTCAAGAACCATACTAGATTTCCTAAAGGAGAGAAGACCAACAATGAAGATGGGCACGATACTATTCGAGACGGTTATTGCACCAACTATGGTGTATGGTACTCAAGCCACAGTACTTACAAAGAGGTCAAGAAAGTCCCTCAGAAGGTATCAGAAGCAAATATGTGGGCAGATAAAAGCACTCTGCAAACCCGAGACAGGCACTAACTCCACTTGCGAACCAAAATCGGTCACAAAATAGATCATGATACGTCAGCTGAGATATTGGGGACACATAGTTCGTAGACCTGATAATCACCTTTTAAAACTAGCTGCTGAATACAGATTGCCTTATAAGAAGCGTGGCAGAACTGCATTCACCTGGTGGGATACCATAGCCCAGAACATGTGGAGATTTGAAAATATGTCTGTGGATGATTGATATAGCACCGTAGAGAGTAGGGAAGTATTTGAGAAGACAGAGTTCTCTGTATCTCTCTTAAGTAAGTGTCGGACTAACATTCCTCTCCCATCCCCACCAGATGCAAGGCCGTGGCCAGGACAGCTCTAGTCTGTTGGAAGGAGACTCATCCTGTATCTAAAAGGTTGTGGTTAACCACAAATTACCCAACTAACATTTTCTGCTTTGTAAGCCAACTTTTGCAGCGTTGTGCTGTAAAGTAGCTGAAAAAAGCTGCATATACAGCTACAAGCAGAAGCTAGCAAAATTTTTTTGTAGAGCGTTTACTCAACTTTTTCACAACCATTATTCAATTTACCAATCTCACTGAATAACAACAGCCAATAAACGCTAATGTCACTTCTATACACATCCTAATCAACTTTCAACTATTACTCATTTGATGGCTTCTGCACAACTAACCACTCTTGCTGAATAACATAAACATCAAAAGTGTTTTTTCGACAACTAAGCAACCTGTTCCCAGCTAATCAACTGTGTTAGCGCTACTTTGGACGCATTTTTACAGTCAGCTAGGTTTATTTTTAGACGTGTGCAGTTTTACAGCTTTTACTCTGCTCCTTTACAAAGGTGAAGTAACTAGTCGAGAAAAGTGAGTCATGTGCACTATTTTAAAGCCTCTACTCAGCAATTTTGTTGTAGAAGGGCATGTAGATTTTTTTTTTGCATCAGTTCAAAGTGTTGGCGTAGCACAGTTGTTAGTGTCAAGGATTGCCAATGCGGTCGTCTCGAGTTCGATTCCAGATTTCCGGTGCAGGATAAATAATTTGGTGGTGTTGCTTGCAACTAATTTGGATTAATTTGATTTACAGCAAAATATAAACTCAATTAATTCCTTCATTTAAAAATATTGTAGAAAATATTTAACCCGGCTTCCAGACAAAGCTGTGTAGTGATTATTGGATAACCGGGAAAAAGGTTGAATACGCGCCTTTCAAGTCCGCATACAACTAAACAGCAGGATAACAGCTATAAGCGTTAATGGATATGCAATAAGAGCTTGTCACAACCGTCCCAACAGCCATAAGTAGCTGACTAAGTTCGCCAGATTTGTTTGTATAGAGGTTGAATAAAGGTTTCCTCATATCGTATAACATTTGAATACAGCTTGAGACTGAATAAATGAAATGAGTAAAACGTTTACTTTGCGAAAATTGTTAGTTTTGTACTATCTAACAGCAACGGATGAAGGTGGGTCTCCTCCTTAACAACAGTTTAGAGCTCGTACCACCTACGACATTGTGCAACCTGGTTTATGCTATGCTATGCTATGCTATCTGCGTAGAACATCAAGCAGCAGATTTCAAGGACGATTGACGATCAGTTAAATATGATCTCAGCCACCTACAAATACTCGAAGATGCTCCTAACCGCTCCAGCTTGGCTAACAGGATACCCGGAAAAAAATAACAATACAATTACCATAAAATAAAATACAATTACATCAAAATCTATTGCCAACAATCGATCTTATTGTACGCATATTGTAAAAGAAATTTTATCATATTGTTATTTCAATAGATTTACAATACGTCCCATATAGTAAGAATTTTCAACAATAGAACAACAATACAATTAATGGTAAAAAGCTCATCTTTGTTCGGGAAAAAGTGATTTTTCCTATGGTTAAGATACAAACAACCCCCTTGTTCTATTGTAGATTTACCCATTTACCATAGATTATATAGCGAAAACAATACATTCTATGGTTATTTTATCGTTGTAGACAATATGATTCATTTTAAATACAATAAATTCTTTGTATGGTTACAATACATTTCATTGTGCCTCTATGGTCCTTTTTTATACGGGTATCCTGATCAACTGAATCGAACAAAGCCTTTATGTCAGTGTAGATACTGTCGACTTGACCTCCTTGGTTACAAAACGACTGAAGGTTGCGGAAAGAATCCATGCTGAGATGTCGAGATGTATGTTTTGCAGGCTTCAAACATTACGTCGTTAATGATTATCTCAAAGCATTTGGATCCAGCAGGTAACGGCGTTATTCCACGATAGTTGGACACATCCACTTTACTGCCTAAGGCTCAAAAGATCTAGAAAAGTCATGCCAGGTGACCTTGTTGATCATCTAAGCGCCTTACAATACTTCCAAAGAGGACCAGTGATGATTATGAATGGAGACTGGATGAAACCAGAGGACAACTATGAAATTCCCTTCAACCTATGTGAAACGGCACGTTCGGATTGGGAAACTGGAGGTCCTAACGTTCGTTTAGGCTCAATCATATTTTTCACAGATGGCTCAAAAATTGGAATAAGAACAGGTGCACGAATCTTTGGCCCTGGGACAAATATTTCAGTTGCAATGGGACATTTTCCAACAGTGTTTCAAGTGGAAATTGTAGCCATACTTGAATGTGTACATGTTTGTCTGAGGAGGTAATACCTGTACTTGTGCAAATATTTGTATTTTTTCTGATAGTCAAGCAGCACTGAAAGCACTGAGTGCTTACAAATGTACATCAAAGATCGTGTGGGAATGTATTCTCTCACTTCGGCAACTGTGCCAACGGAACTCAGTAAACTTATATTGGGTACCAGGACACTGTGACATTGAAGGCAATGAAAGGGCAGACGACCTAGCAAAGTTAGATTCCAATTTACAGTTTTTTGGCCCAGAACCATACTGTTGAATATCATACTTTACGGTAAACATGGAACTCAAATGCTGGGGAGAGCAAAGGGTGATGGCCAATTGGACGACTGTCACAAACTGCAACCAGTCGAAAAGATTTATAACTCCTAAATATAACATACACCAAAAAGCTCTAGGAGCTCAATAAAAGAGCTCTTGGTATACACACTGGCCTAGTAACTGGGCACTGCCGTAGTAGATATCACACGAAGAACATTGGTCGGGTTCAGAGTGATATCTGTCGTTTCTGTAATTTGGAACGTGAAACCTCGGAACATCTGCTCTGCAGTTGTGGTGCATTACACAAGCGTAGATCTAAACCCTGAACGTCATGTATTTGGAGCAGCGTCTGGTGGCTTTTAAAAATCGAATTGATTACATCTGTTTAAAAATCACTCGAGACATATTCATGTTTGCACACTTACAAGAAAATGTGTTTACTTAGTGTCTTTTTAATTAAATTATTTTTTTGGAGGACTCAATTGTTTCTAAATATCTTTAATTAATATTTTATTCTAGTTGACATGATTGTGGTTTATAATTATAATTAAATTAGAACAATCATTGTAATCAAAATTTTAGTATAATTTTTTTGTAAATCAAGAAGTGAGGGAGTTTGAGAAGTTGTTACTATAATTTTTGATTGAGGAAAAGCTTCGTCAATTTGTGAATTACCTTCAGGAAATTACCTATAAGAAATTGGATTAGAACAAAAGGTAAATTTGGTTCTAAAAGGTTTGCTTCGTGAAAATCATAAAATCCATATATACTCCCGACCGGGAAATGTAAGATTCTATTACAGATATGAAGTATGAAAGTATGCAGAACTTGAAATGTTTTGCACATGAACCTGACGGTTTCTGTAAACAGTTTTGAAAATAATTTTTAAGACAGCTTATTTTTTGAACAATTTTTTTTTCCCCAAATGTATTGTATCTGGAAAAATATCACATTCTGGAAAAACTTGCTTGTATGCAACACATATCCAGAGGATATAGTGAATCCAAGCTTACATTGGATGTAAGAGAAATGGTGTGTTTTGCGTGTGGTTACGTCCCTACTGCAGTTGCTCAAAAACGAGTCTTAACATTATTCAAGACGGCTGGTTCCTGGGAGCTCTCTCAGAATCCTTCGAAACATTTTTCACTGTTTATGGTAATTTGTAGAACAGTGGTCTGGCACTGGCAATGGCTTTTTCTATCAAAAACTCAATAAACTCCAATAAGGTTGTTCACTGTACCAGCTTTAAGCACCGCTCAATAAGCCATGGACATTACTTTTTAGAAATTCAACTCCAACTTCAATCATAAACGCTCCTTAATAGGCATTTCATGCAAATCAGCCGTTCGTCATTCACCCTGAGTCTGAAACGAGACACATTCCATCCGAAGCTAATTTTCCTCATCAGCAACCGTGCCCCTGCCACAAGCGCGGTTTCAAAGACCGGTAGAATTTATATTGAATCAATTGGCGTTCGGATAAGCTCGATATTTTCCTCCCAACGTGACCGTATGGAACTGTAACTACCATGCTTACCCGAGTGTAGGTATGATCAACTACAATTTACTAACCTGTTTTGTGTTATTCTTTCTGTTTAGCGCGCGGGTAGATGGAGCTAAAGGCTTCCGCTCCGCAATCTCCGCCACTACTAAAAAAAAAACCGCGCGGCTGGCTAGTGGTAGTGGTTTTAGCGCAAATACCGGGCTACTTGTTGGACCCGACGAGTGCCTCTTTGTGCGTCGGTGGAAATCCTTTCCAATTGCAAGTAGTCACTTGGGACAAGTTCGCCTTCCACGATGGAATCCACTCGGTGAAGTCACTTAAACTACCGACTGCAGTGTAACGATGATGACGACTAGCTGGAAGAAGGCATGAATCATTCGACAACTGCACACCACTGACAAACAAAAAGCTTCACGTTCAATCGTATGCAGATTGGTTTGGATCGATAATTATCGGCAACTAGCGCGAGTTAGTGGTTCTTTTGTTGATGGTTTTTTGCATGTGAGTTGCTGAAAATTATTCCGATTTGCTTCTTTTCTTCTTCAACTGCACACAGAAAGCACAACGCACGCTGCACTTAATGATTGTTTCGTTTCATGAATAATTTAAATATTCAAATTGTTTGTTTTCGATGAGTGGATTGCTAAGAAATACCTACATGCTGGATGTAAAAATATATACAAAAAAAAAATCAGCAATGAATGCGACCTTCAAATAAAGGTGTCTAAATAAAAACGGCGCTAAAGCTGCTCACTGCTCGATGGACTTTTTGTGGTTGTTGTGTGTACTGTGCTTTCGTTAGGCGGACGTTTAAATTGAGCATTGAAAATCGAAATTTTGCGGCGATGTTAAGGGTAAAGTTTGTTGGTTTTTCATACAACATTTCATGGTAAATCTTTTAAATTTGTCGATCCTCTTAACGGAATCCCTTTTTGAAGAGCTTTGAGTGTGTTGGTTTATTTCCTTTAAATTCCGTTATAATTGCTTATCTTTTGACAGATACCCGTATTTCATCTACTACTTATAGACTTCATCAGTGCCAAGTACTCAAAACCACTGAAGAATCCATCTTTTGTCTACCAGTTATATACTAATCAATAGGTACTAAAATCAGCAGGTATCCACTGCCATGTAACAATTTACCCAACCAGGTACCTAAATTTAGTCTCCAACGGTTAGAGGTGGTGTTGAGTACTTGGCACCAGGCATGGAAAATCATTGGCATTCATTTAGTGCATTCATTTACATTCATTTGCACCTAACCTTTTACATCAACAGATTTTCGCAAAATAGTATATGAAGTTTTAGTAGGTTTTGTTATTAGCTAAAACTTTTGTTAACAACGTATCTCTTATGTATGACGAACCAGAGCAAACAGAAGCCACTACTGTTTTTCAGTGAATGTATTTTACATTCACTGAAAAACAGTAACAAGTTCTGTCCACTCTAATTCGTGATGCATACGAGATACAGATTTGAGTTATGGGCAAAAGCTGTAGCTAATAACAAAACCTACTAAAGCTTTATGCATCATTTTGCGGAATGCTGTTGAAGAAAAAAGTTAGAGATAAATGGATGTAAATGATTTTCCATGCCTGCTTGGCACTGATGAAGTCTGCAAGTAGTAGACGAAATCCGCGTATCGGAATTTAAAGGAAATAAACCAACACACTCAAAGCTCTTCATTTCATGGTAATTTTGTAACACCAAGCTGTAAGCAGATTGGAGTTAAAGTAGAACAGTTTTTACCTGGTTTTTTAAGTGGGATGCGCAATTTTTTATAGAGAGTACCAGGTATTATAAGCACTCTTTCAACAGTTTGCCATTTGTATTCCGATGACGTTTAGCTGTTGTTTATTGATGTGTATTGCACACAGATCTTGCACAAATGGTACAGTCTTCCCACCCTGTTGTTCAGGAAATGAGCAGTTCAAACAGCCATCCGGAAGTTTGGTATCCTCTTCACCATTCAGAATCCACTAAAATACCATAGTAACATTGCAAATTTTATCAAAGTTTTAAAGTATCCTTCAAGTCTAAACCATGATAAAGTGATAAATTTAAAATGGTTTCTTCTTCTTCTTTGTCTTATTTGTCTTCGAATTTGAAGCTTATTGTTTATCGCCTAGTAGCTTATTGCGTGCTCTCAACTTAGTGTTGTAAGATGGCCTTGCACAGTTATTAATTGCGAGCTTTCGCTGTCTGTACCATGTTTGCAATAGTTTAATTGGGTGGAAAGTACAATCAAACTCTATGCCCAGGGAAGTCGAGATTTTTTCCAACCCTATAAATCCTAGACCGGACCGGGAATTGAACCCAGCCACTTCCAGCTTCCAGCATGGTTTTGCTGTGTAGGTGCGTCTTTACCGACTGAGCTAAGGGAGGCCCCCAAAATGGTTACTTGGGTACGGTCAAAAACTGGGACCAGACGACCGAAATATCACACAAGTTTCACCAATAATAAGAAGAGTGCCTCTATTCAAGATTTGACTAAAAACTGAACGTAGCCCGACAAAAAAGTTAGCATCGAGATGGAGAAATTACATTCGAGTATTTCAGTTGAGTTTTCTCGAAGACTTACTGATGCAGCTGGAGAGGTAGCTCATCGATTCATCCGGTTCGCCTCCTAGCATCGTGCTATAAGGTACCAGGCGATAACCAGGGTAGTTGATCGATAGCTCGATGACGTCATTTCGTTGACGTCTGCAATGGGAAATTCTCATAGCAGGCGTTGACGATGGGACGTTGTCGAGTTGTTGAATAGCAACTATCGTGGTAACTCACCGATTACCTGTCGATCTGCCAAATTTGGAAAGACGTCTGCATTGAATTGTCTCATATAATAATATTCCGCCCACTATATCACAAGAAATTGCGAGTAGCTGAGTAGCATGGAGATAAGTTAAGCATTGGGTACAGGACCAAGTCTCCCCTGGGTGGTGCCAAAAGATGAGCGCAATAGAATCATCAAGTTGCCATAAGGCACGGAATGAGACTATTGCATGGCTGGGTAGTCAAAGTCTTCCATTCGTTAGTCATTTCAGGTGGATTAGAACAGGTTTAGGTGGGCGTTGGCCAGATTTGGATTTTTCAGATGTAATCCTGGATAGGACCCTGTCGTTGAACGTCGCGTGAAAGTGGAACTTAATGAAGGCCTAAGTACTTTTTCGTAGTTTTTAGTTTTCGGATTTGAAAGATCGTCGGTTACAGTGGCCTGCTTACTGAGCAGAAAAACGCTGTCCCAGGTCCTTGCATATCAAAGAGATTTATGGTAAAATCGCTTGTGTATCGTGTATTTTGCGAAACTCGTTGTTGTCGTTGGTTCCGGGTTTGAATGGATACACACATTTGAGCAACGGTATTATGTGATATGAGGGGCTCGGTGGCCTTAGAGCAACCGTTTTTGCTTACTGAGCAGAACATCATGAGTCTAATCTCAGGCCCATCCACATTCAAGAATCGTCAATCGTTTTATTTGTTAATATGACTACAATGTAATAACAGCAACTCGGTGATTAAAAAGGTGCTCGTCTGCCTAGTGGCAAACGTTTTTGCTTACTGAGCAGAAGACCGTGGGTTTAGTCCCAAGCTCCTTCGCGTTATACGATCGTTAGGACATCAATTCAGCTTATCGTTTACCAAAACGAACCCTGCTGCAAACCCAACCCTCTTATCCAACATCCCAGTGATTCCTCGTGGAAGTGCAGAGGTGTTCTCGGATTCCATAAAAGCGAGTGTCATGTCAACACAACTCTTCCCATTCCTTTCTTGACCTGTGTTCGGGCGCGGCCGGCGCTGGTATTGCCTAATTTAAGATCACCAGTTTTTCCACATTGAGGATGATTGCTAGTCCCAAGCATCGTCTATTGGTTCTCTGTGTAATTACAGCTGATCTGGCAGTAACAGAGTAGCAACCGTGGGCGGTCAAGCTCAAGCTCAAGCTCAAGCTCAGTTGAGTTTTCTCGAAGATTTTACCTTTTATTCATTATACCATTGGTCCCTTCGACCTTCTGTCGTTCGACCTTCTGTCGTTCGACCTTCTGTCGTTCGACCTTCTGTCGTTCGACCTTCTGTCGTTCGACCTTCTGTCGTTCGACCTTCTGTCGTTCGACCTTCTGTCGTTCGACCTTCTGTCGTTCGACCTTCTGTCGTTCGACCTTCTGTCGTTCGACCTTCTGTCGTTCGACCTTCTGTCGTTCGACCTTCTGTCGTTCGACCTTCTGTCGTTCGACCTTCTGTCGTTCGAACTTCTGTCGTTCGACCTTCTGTCGTTCGACCTTCTGTCGTTCGACCTTCTGTCGTTCGACCTTCTGTCGTTCAACCTTATGTCATTCGACCTTTTGTTTTTCGACCTTTTGTCTTCCGACCTTTTGTTTTTCATTTTTTGTGTTTCGACATTTTGTCCATTCAAACTTTTGTCTTTCGACCTTTTGTGTTTTAACATTTTGACTTTTGATCTTTTGTCATTCGAAATTTTGTCTTTCAACCTCCTGTCATGGCGATGTATGTCATTCTTATATGCGATGTTGACTTAAACTGTAGCAATTCACGATGCTATCTGTACATTGTTATACGACTTCTGGTTGTCTGGGTATTTGCACCAGTAAAAATGCAAAGTTAGTCCATTATCGTTTCTAAAAACTCGAACATTCACTGAAAAACAATAACAAGTTCTGTACAAGCTAGTTCATCATACATAGGAGGTACAGATTTTAATTATTCCAGGATCTGAGAGTGAGAAGATCCCAGTCTTAAAGATTTTGGTAGAAAAATTTAAAATACCGGACTATGTAAACTTTTCAAGACATACCCAAAAACTTGAAATCATATACCGTCAAGTCTGGAGTCTGGGATTTCCTCAGTTTCGGAGCCTTAGTCTCATGTAGTCGGAATGAAACTAATTTTCTTAACATATTCATCCTGCTTTGAAACATGAGCAGTAGGATGCGGCATATTTTTCGACTGTTCATGAAACCTAAAATTCGTTCGTTTTTCTGGTTCAAATTGGCTTGGAAAGAGATGTCTTCGAGCATGAGATTTACAGGTGGTCAAGGAGGATTTTTTACCTTTAAGAAATTGCTTTTACTAAATTCATCGTAACTCTATCATCTTTCATCCAATTTTGGATCTCTTGCACTATTATTTTTATAACTAAATTCAAAAAATGTTTTTTTCAAAACAGAATCGGACTTATCTTGCACCAAGCATGAGTTTGACGAGGATTTCTATACAGTAATGTCCCGATTTTGTCAGCCCCCTGATAAATTTAGGGCTGACAAAAACGTTACACTGACAAAATTGGGACATTTTTTTTCGCTTAATTTTTTTAACATAATATCTTTAAATGCTGTTTGAT